ATCCACCACTTCGAGAAGTACCATGGCGAAGATGCGACAGAGGAGGAGCTCACCCACCCCGAAGACATTGAGCACTTCCGGCGGCACGACGAGGAAGATCTGGCGATGGAGCGCCTCGAGCAGCTTGAGAGCATGCAGATCGTCGAGGCCAACATACCGCAGAAGTTCCTCAAGCAAGCTTAGATGAGTGTACATTAGATTCCTTATGTTGTTGTTGTTATAGTTGATGATGATACTGTACATAATAAATGTGTGATGAGACGAGCATCCTCGTGGGTGGTCATACCTTGGAAATAATGCCAACCCAATCCAAACGAAGCGTCCATGAGCGTTATAACGTTATACCTCCAGCGCCGGCAACCTGACATCAAACACGCAATGCATCACCCCCGGAGCATACGTCTTGACCTGTTCAACATGTCGACACTCCGCCACGACCTCACCTTCCACCTCCAAAACCTCCCCCCTCAACCTCCCAACCTCCATCGTGACCCGATCCCTCATCTCCTCAATGCGCCTCACATCCACATTCTCATGCACATGCAACCAACCCCCCAACCTTCCATCCACCATTCGACACGCATCCCCCCAAGCAGCCTCCGACGACGGCAACAATCCCAAATTAACATGTCTAACAGGCGGCCACCGGCCCCTCACCTCCATCACATCCCTAATCTGCGCCAAAACGCGCGCCGCAAACCGATTATCCCCATGAAACACCACCACCTTATCCCCATCCTCCCCATCCCTCAACCCATCCACCAACTCCTCCACCCCAATTCCACCCTCCAACACCCCATCCTCACCAACCCTAACAACCCTACATCCCCACCCATTAGCCACACACCCCCTCCGTAACCCCTCAACAGACCACCCATTAATCTCCCATCCCCAAACCCTCCTCACCCCGCGCCGGAGGTACGAAAACACAAAATACCCTATCCCCGCATACATATCCACCACACTCATCCCTCGCCCTGCCCCCTCAATATCCTGCCTGGCTAACCCCTCCATCCCCGATCCCAATATCCTCGCCTTCTCCGTAACATTCCCCCTTGAGAACATCGTATACATAGGCGCCCAGATCTGCTCAATGCCATGGTTCTGCACCGTGCTTACCCAGAACGCGCGCCCCAGCTCCTCTGCTGTTGGCGAGTCCAGGTTTGTGATTGTGCTGGGCGCGGACCCGAAGTCCCCGTGCAGTGGGAGTAGACCGCCGGGACTGCGCATGCGGTTCTCGGTGCCTTGTGCGTCGGTTAGGGCGATGGGGGCGTTCATGGCGATGTGGGTGAGGTTGTAGCGGGAGAAGGCGGAGAGGATGCATTCGTACAGAGTCGTCTTTTGGGTTGCCGTTAGGGTGCTGTAGAGGGTGTGCCAGGCGGGTGGGGTGGTGAGGGCGTTGACGGGGAGGAGGAGGAGGGGGGCGTAGATGGTGAAGCGTTTGGGGAGGGAGGATATGGGGAGGGTGGTGTCATTGTTGTTGTTGTGGTGGTGGTGGTGGGTTAGGTATGTTGTGATGCCTTTTTGGAGGGGGTTTAGGAGCGTTGGTTTGGGTTTGCGGGGGTGGTTGTGGTGCTGGTTGTTCTGGTTCTTCGTGGCGGTGATGGCATTGTCGGTGGTGAGGGGGAGGGGTGATGTGGTAGTTGTGGTTGTTGTGTTGATGGTACAGTCGGGGTTGTCCGGGGGTGGTAGCATGGCGAGGGAGGTATGTACGTGGGTGCCAATTGCTGGTTCAGGCGTGTGGAAGCTGCAGATGTAAATGCAGGAAGATATTGTACCTTGGTGGTTACTGATAGTGTAATGACCTGACGGGCGATGATGAAAATTACATGATCTGCGGGGAGTGGGGACCGTATTGTGGTTCGGAAGTGGGCTGTCTAGTTAGGTTGGTACTATAGAGTGCAAGATAGGAATGATAATGCCACAACACAATCCGAACTAATATCCGGTCGTAGTCTTGCTGGTTTATAGCCTTCTTATTTTAGTTTCCATTCTCTTGAATGTAGTTCGATGGTAAGAATATTTTCAGTATCTAGGAAGTATCTAAAATATTGATAGTCAATTCTTGTAGATGCGTCATGAAGTCAATGTTATAAAGGTGGATTTATTAGATCGATTGATTGCTTTTATTATTTTTCTGATCCTGATTTCTCTACATTTTCTCTTTATATACTTCTTGTACAACTCGTTTCTATAAATCTTACATAAACCTGGAGTATACAATCAGCCGGTGCCATTCTAAAAACACATGTCTTGGTATTAGTACATTCGAAAAGAAGTAGAAACCTCCCATCGCTATCAGACTATGTCCGCCTCCGTGCACCTCCCCGAGACAAGTATCTAGACATTGTCCCGTAGAAGAAAGCCACCATTCTGCAGCTTCTGGAAAACGCCCTCAGGGTCATACTTGGCCGCCACCTCCTGCATCCGCTTGACATTCTCGGCCCCATAGCTGCCCAAAACCTTCTGGGAAGCGGTAGCAAAGCTCATACACTTAAAATCCAGAAGAAGTCCTCTCGCCTTAGCCAGGTTCTGCACTTTTTCTGACATGGTATCCACAGCACTTTGTGCGGCGACATCATCGCCATCTTTGGGCCATTCACAGGTGAATACCCACCCTATTAGAATTGGGTAAAGTTGCATTAGCTTCATGAAATATACAGAGAAAGGAAGTAAAACATACAGCACTGTGGAACACTCTCGTGGCCCATGATATTCTCACCACGGTCTTTACCAGCTTGAACAGCAGCTGTACCAACTGGCTGAATGGTATAATGTAAAACGGTATCAGCTGGAAGGGTCTTACGGACCTCAACCCAGGTTTTATACACTTCTTCGTATAGCTCGGGTGAGTTTCGGGTGGTAACTGTACAAATCGATCGTCTGTATATATTTTAGTAATCATAAGAGTGCGTTCCGGTTGCAACCAATACTACTCACTTGAGAGGTGTTTGGGCATGGCCCATAGCTTGGGCTAGAGATAAAAGGGTACCATTTGTCGAGGGTAGGACTGTTGTCATCAAGCTTCTGAGGTTATGAAACGGCCTGAAAGTTTCCCGGGCCTCAGACTCAGCTGGATGGTCCCCATAGAGTAGGCCTACTGCAACAAAGCCGTTGTTGAAATTGGTGAACAGCCCGGTCTTGGGATCTTTCTCCATAGTTTGTTGAACTTCGAAAGTAGCCTGGTTGATTGCCACATGATCCTCGGGGCTGTAGAGATTGATGATACATTGGACATTGATCAAAGGATGAGTTTCAAGATCAAACCGTGTCACAATGCCTGTTATAGTAGAGATTAGTTGAACTAGATGTTGAACACAATTATGCTACTAGACATACCAAAGTTAGAGCCACCACCCTTGAGGGCGCGGTAGAGATCGGAGTTCTCATTTCTATTAGCATTGATGAGTTTTCCATCCGCGAGTAAGATCTGGAGGACTCGTTAATTTTAAATCCTGGTACTGCCATGCCCTACACTCAACTCCTCGCCCAAAATAGAACAAAAACAAAGAATGTCAAAGATACTCTCGAACATACCTCAAAGTTCTTCACTCCATCAGCGCCGAGTCCATAAAGATTAGGCAAAGCTCCCAAACCTCCTATTGCAAAGTAGTCAATGACTTATTCCAACGATAGGGGGACACACAGAGAGAGGTAGAAAGCAAGAAAGCACACATACCTCCTAAGAGGAACCCTCCCAGTCCCACCTGGGAATCCCTCCCCCCAATGGCAGACAGCCCTCGCTCCTCCAGCCAAACATATACCTCGCCCCAGGTATTTCCCGACCCAAAGCGTGCAATGCCTTGTTGATCAGACAGTAGTTCCTTTGACCTAAGCTACCTGATGTCCAACACCACACCTGCTTCACCGACACTGCTGAATCCCACATTCGGGTTATGACCGGTTGTGCGGACAGCGAACTTGGTACCAGTCTCTTGTACAATAGCCAGGGCCTTGGTCAGTTCCTCAGCAGTACTCAGGTAGACATATGCTGCCGCAGGAGTCCAGCAGGTCTGTGACCAGGGGTAAGTCACAGCAGCTTGGTACTTGTCTCCAGATTCATTGATCACCACTTTATCGGGAGTATCATCGGGAAAGATAGATCTAAGCTGATCCAAAGCAGCGGCCGCCATGATTGTCCTGTGTAAAGGTGAGGATGGGGGATTGGATTGTTGTTACAGGTTGATATTATATTGAAAGGTGCTGACTGCAATGAAGTGAGAAATAGCTGTATCTTCGTTTTCTTTTCTCTCAGTTCTCGCACAGGATCGACTGGAGGTGTTCAGAACCTTTATATTACAAGAGACCAGTGTTATCCCGGCTCCTAGTCTCGCTTGGAGCCTCTGATGGGGGAGGATGTGCCCAAACGTGCATTGCTTGATCCACTTCACTCACTTTCTCTTTTGTCTTTCATTCTCCTCCCACTGCGCCTCTCCCCGCTCCATCCAACCCCAACCCCAACCCCTGTTTCTGTCCAGATCGGGGCAATGACAAGGCAGGATGGATAAGCACTAAAGCACAGATACCCACATAAGGTGGAAAGTGGAGCCTAGCGGGAATGATCGGTTATACTATCTCATACTAAGTATCTATCCAGCCGAACATGTTGGTTGTCACAGTTGATTGGATCTCTGATGATTAGCAGTCTGTTGGTGATTCACAGCTAGTGGTATTCCGCAGATTTGGTCACCCGGTTTCTCTCATTGGTGCCCTGCTGGACACCTTCATGTCATTCAGGCAACTACTGAGTCTTCTGCGTGGTCGTGCGCTGATAATTCAGATTTTTGTGTGAATGTTGTTTCTGGCGTTGGGATTCAAGATCATATTACACTGAGTTGGTTGAAATGGTTGTTTGTGTCGAATATAACAGGCAAGAGAAGCTAGCCCATGATATGACCTCACCGTGATAAGGGTAATATTTATTCGCTTCATACGACTTGTGGGTTGTATTACAGGCGTCAAAGTTTCTGGTAGAGTGGGAGGGAGGGAGCCAAGGTGGTGGCAGACCAAGTTTTCATGCATAAAGTACAACCATACAGTACAGCGCTCGAATATCAGAGATGCATGACACTCGATGCAGAATCGACCTCCGTCACAAAGATACCCAGGTCTAAGACATATGGGATTACATGGCAAGAGCATTAAGACGAGAAGAAGTCAGTCATCACATGATAGTATTCATGCAAGGCGGATAGGAGTAGCGCCTCGAAAAGGCTTAAACGATAGAGTAAGAACAAATAGGAAGGCGTATACTGGCCCTATTAGAAGTATATGAACGCTCAAATCAAAACAGAATGCAAAGGGCGCTGTAACGATCGACTTGTAGCAGCAGTAGACGTAACGAGTGGTATCATGGCGAGATTAATAGTCCATCACGGAGTATCCCAGGCGGTCATTTGTGTCGAGCACACTGCTTATCAGTCAATAACAGTTCTTCTATACCTGTAGGTAAAGCAGACTCACGAGTATTGTTTGGTCAACGTCCCCTCACCACCCTTGGAGAGATCGATGTTGAATACATAGAAGTTGCCGTCGCTAGTCACCACCATAACCTGGGGAGTGTTGGCGCTCATGGCGACCACACTGCGCAACGGGCCGTTGTTCCCGTTTGCTCCAGGTCCTTGGTTGGACTTGGGCAGTTTGATCCAGGCAAAGTCTCGGGCGGGCTCCCACATCTCGCTGACTCCCTTGGGGAGGTAGCCTCCAACCTTGGCAGCAAATGTGCTCCCAACGTTTTGGGAGGTGCGCCGGATCATGCCCATCAGAGTTCCATTGTGTTTCCTCGACGCAAGCTCGGATGCGGCCATGTCTCCACCTCTATCATCGGCATCGGATAATTGTCCAAGTGAGCTTTGGCTAGACCTTCGATCAGCGGCCGTAAGTGAAGAGGATGGTGTAGCGTCTGGCGACTGCGATTGAAGGCTTAATTTGAATAGGTGGATCGTTTCTGTGGAAGATGATACACAAAGGAGGGTCGAGGTGGTGTTAAAAGACATGCTGTAGATTCTGGATGGTATCGACCCTCGCCGGAACTGGTAAAGCTTGCGCCCGTCGGGGACAGAGAATACCCGTATGATCGTTCCTTTGTCCGACGCCGTGGCTATAAGTGTTCCGTCGCTATTCAACGTGATACACGCCAGCGGGGACCGATGCGCTTCAATGACGTTGATCGCTTCCAGCTTCAGAGTATCAAAGATCAGAACCTCGCCACTTGTAGGTGTAACATGTGTTGTGCCCGGAGGAGCGTGAGCTGGAGGTTGAAACGTAGAGGGCGGCGCCTTTTGCGGAAGAGGGTATGCAAGATAGCAGTTATCCGAGGATGGGGAGAGGGCACAGAGTGCTGCCGACAATTAGACATTCGAGCACATTCATAAAGGTAGTCGCAGCCTTACCGTTGGGGTTGGGAGAGGTCTCGATGGTATACAGGAGCTTCATCGTCTGGATATCGTAGAGGTATATCTGGTCCTCCAGCACAATGACAAGCCGTTTCCGGTTCAGCTTCACGGCCAGCACGGTCGTGGGGAAAGTCAATTCGCATATCGTCGATTGGCGCTACATGTTGCAGATGTGAGAAAAAGCGTTAACCATTTGCGCCTCGTGAATCGCGCAGCAGAATACAGGGAGAGATCATGCGATTTGTGAAAAAGAAGAATCTAACATCATGCGCGAAGGATTTCCTACGAACCTTGGTATTAGTTATTTGAAGGCGACGTGGTGATAGGATCAGCGCAACCAGGGACGTCGAGAACAGCATCTCAATAATAGCTATATTCCCTTCTTTCGTCTCATAGCTTTTTGCGAAAGGGTCCGTGGTGAAGATGCGAAATCCCTTAGAAGTCGCTGACAGGTGTCAAGATATATTTCATGACTGTAGAAGGGAGGAGTTGGGAGCAGGAAGAGCCTTACCCACAGCTAGATAGCTATAGTCCTGGTTAAACGTCACGAAGTTCATCGACATCGTTGCTTAGTCGATCACCGGGATCGACCACACCTCACTCCACTCTGCTTTCCTATTAAACCGATATATGACAGCACAGTATGCCGTGTGATGAATAAACCGAGAGATCTGAGATGAGCTTTGGTGATATCACGTCGTCTGGAGGAGTAACACGCTTTAGTGTCGGGTATGGAGGGGTTAGCAGATCCCTGGTTAGAGCCGGTTCCGTCACTGTTGATGGGCCTTGATTTGCATATCTCGCTTGCGCAACTGATACTCGAGTAACGGTTCGCCGTTTATATACTCCGAGCGCCTCCACAACCGCGAGGTGACGCCGACTTGGTTGGTTGGTAGCGGAGGTATCCGGGGGAAGAACAACAGTTCCTCTCCTTTGCCGCGGTCTGCGTCAGGCGCGGCAAGCGAAGCACCTGACGCTTGGGCCACATCTTGATCGACATTTCCGCCTTTCTTTTCGCAAATTTCCACTTTATTTCTTCCCTCTCCTACAAATAACCCCGCACAACGTCAATTTCACCATGACGGCAAAAAAGGAAGCCGGCCCTGTCAAGGCAGCTACGAAAAAGCCGGCCATGGCTACAGCCAGCACGAAAGCTGAGAAGGAGGCCGATCTGGTTATGGGGGTAAGTCGCAATTGCAGTTGCTATGACCGAGTCCCACTATGCGCCTGGCGCAGACACAGACCACCCCCAGCGCCTACATCTCTCTCGATTGCCTGTGCTACATCTAACAGTCCTAGACCAATAACAGTAGTATCGTATCTAAACGCAGCGTCGAAATGCTCTACTATCCCAAGCCCCATTTCTTTCGGTATTTCGTCAAAAAGCCCCAGCGGCGGTCGCCGTTGATCAATCGTGGATATTGGCTGCGTTTGCATGCGATGGCAGAGTCGGTGCGACAATTTATGAGAGGGCCTACGGGAAAACCCAAGTTTGTCCTGAACTTGGGGTGTGGATTGTGAGTCGTAGCAAACCGGAAGCAACCGCTTGGTTGCAGAACCTATTGGTACCTGGATCGTATGCTAAGATGGGTTATCGTAGTGATCCCCTACCGTTCATTCTCCTCAGTGAAGATCCATCCCTGTGTAGAGATACGCAATTCGTCGATATCGATTATGAGAAGCTCATGATCAATAAGAAGACAGCCATCAAAAGGACCGATGAAATCACACAGGTTCTCCAGGATGTAGAGTTCCTAGCCGACGAAAGCGCCGTGCAAATACGCAGCGCAAAATACCTAGGCATTGGATGCGATCTCAAAAATCTCAAAAAGTTGGACGATGTGCTGAGAGCCGAGGTCCTGCCCGCTGAGTGCTCAGTCCTCTTCCTAGCTGAGGTTTCCTTGACTTATATGGATGTCAAGTCTGCCAATGCGGTTGTCGAGTGGGCGTCAAAGTTGAACAACGGTACGGTGTCTATTCCGTGCGGCTCCGTGGCTGATCGCATGCAAACTAACGTCAAACCTCATAGATGCCAAGTTCTGTATTCTTGAGCAGTTCTTCCCCGACGGACCCGATCATCCTTTCGCCTCGACCATGATGAAACACTTCAAGAAGCTCGGAGCACCGCTGTACTCGATTCATGAATACCCTTCACTTAACGAGCAAGAACAGCGGTTCAAGAACGCCGGATGGCAGCAAGCCAATGCCAGAAGTCTGTGGGATCTATGGTCGGATGACGGATTTGTGACCAGTTCGCTGCGATCCTCCTTGGATGCTGTGGAACCGTTCGATGAATGGGAAGAATTCGCACTTTTTGCTTCCCATTACTTCCTTCTCGTCGCCTCTACATCACAAGGAGAAATAGATCGCAGCGCAGCAAAGACCACGCATGCCGAACAGGAAGTCGACGCGTCCAACCAGTACGCGCTTCTTGCAAAGTACCCGGCGGGAGGTGGCCAACGCAGGTTCGGAGCGCTTGTTCCAGATGGCACAAACTCGGTCGGTTACCATGCCGGGCTGGGACGGCAGACGCGACTAGCAACGACGGATCTGTACGCGAACACAAGCGACGTCACCGGTCCTACCCTGCCTGTACCTTCCCGCGACATCCCAGCCAGGATGTGTCATACCGTAACACAGCTATCTGGTGGCGATTGTTTACTTGTTGGTGGCCGGGCTTCACCCGCTGCTGGTCTTCAGGATTGTTGGCTAAGACAGGGGACCCAGTGGCGTCCGACACATAACCTCCCAATCGAGCGGTTCAGACATAGTGCGATCAGAGTGACCTTGAGCTCAGATTATGTCTTGGTCTACGGAGGAAAGACGAGCAATGGCACGACGCTGGACACCTGGTTGCTATGGAGCAAAGAGGACGGGTGGCAACCCGTTGCAACGGTCAATGCAAGCCCAAATGCTAGGTTCGGGGCCTGCCTGGCAAGCATAGACAATACGTCTGGATTCCTCTTCGGAGGAATTGGAGCGGATGGCACTATCGTGGAAGATTTCTGGACATGGAAGTTGCACCAGCGCAGTGACGGATCGTACTATGTGGAGTTGCACGATGGCACAAAAAAGTTGCAGAAAGCTTCACCCACCTTTGAATATCTCAGCCGCTTCGGCGCCACCCTCAGTTGCTCCTCCCGGGGGTTGCTTCTTATTGGTGGTATCATCCCTCGACAGATTGTGCCCTATGAAAAGGAGATCATGCTACTGAATACGAAAGCGATTGTTGAGTGCCTTACTGGCGACTCTGCATCGCAGTCTGGTAACATACTGTCTGCAATAGGGCTTGGGCTAAACTTTGGTGGGCCAAGACCTTTACTGGTCGGCCATGCGGCTCATACCGTCGACGCGGACGAGGTTTTGCTGCTGGGCGGTGGTGCAGTTTGTTTCTCTTTTGGAACCTTTTGGACGGAAGGCACCTGGCTTCTAAAGAACATTGACACATCTCTTGAGAACGAGTGGGGTCGGATCTCTGAGATTGCGCAACCATTGAAAGCTGAGGAGCCGTCGGTGGAGCCATCCAATGTGGACCAACAAAGCACCAAGGTTGTCACATCGATTCCTCGTGTCAAGGTTGAAACTGCCGCGCAATTCCAACAGATACTTGTGGAAGGGAAACCAGTAATCATCGAAGGTTCCGACCTTGGTCCGTGCACCGAGCGTTGGACAAAGGAGTATCTCGCGGATGCTGTTGGCAGGGACCGCAAGGTAGAAGCCACCGACCCTGCTTGCCCTGAGAAATCTGGCTAAGAGCCTCTCGATAGGTTGTCGTGCATGACGCTCAGTCCGACCATATGAATTTCCAAACGAAGAATTTCTCCTACACAACCAAGGAGTTCGGCGCCTTCCTGGATGAAGTGCACGCGGGTGGTCGTCAATATCTTAGAAGTATCTCCACTGAAGAGCCAACCAAACAACCTGCCAAACTAGCCGTAGATTTTCCCAATCTCAAGGATGATTTCAGACTCCCGGAGCCTTTTGCTATGGTTGTTGAGAACGAACACAGTTCTCCACTCAGGATCTCTGGACCAGTCACCCTGTGGCTGCACTACGATGTGAGTGTGCATGTGAACAGATACCTGCAGAAGTGAGGCACTGACTATGTCCAGGTCATGGCAAATGTTTTGTGTCAGATCCGTGGCGAGAAGAGACTTATTCTCTTCCCACCTAGTGATGTTCAATACCTCCAGGTCCCTGCTGGGGCATCAAGCTCCACCCTTAACATATTTCAGAATTCAGTAGACGGTTCAATTGCTTCGGTGCCACACACGACGCCACATGAAGCAATTATGCGTCGTGGCGACATCCTGTTCATTCCCCCGTTGTGGTTACACACTGCATCTCCGACTGGCCAGGTCAGTGTGGCCGTGAATGTTTTCTTTCGCAATCTATCGAAAGGATATGCAGCTGGACGGGATGTCTACGGGAACCGTGATTTGCAAGCCTATGAGAAAGCGAGGACCGATCTTCAGAAGATGGCAAAGTCTTTTGATGGCCTCCCGCCTGACATGGCTCGTTTCTACTTGCTGAGACTTGCAAAGGAGCTCAGAGACAAGGCCGAAGCATAGATGAACGGAGTGTCCAGCCTTGACCCGAGGAAGTTGTATTGGCCGGCTGGCGTTAATCGCCAGTTGGCAGTCTATCAATCTCGCCACGAGATCGTTTGAGAGCAAGGTGGCACGACTTGTCTGACTCTCAGAGCCTGGCCCTGTGTTCGGGACTGGACAATCTGTCTGACCCCTCAACGACTGACTGCCTCACAATGCAGGCAGGTTGCATGTGTGAAGATCGGGCCGCTTTTCAAGGCCAGCAAGGCGAGAGGCACGTGGTAGAGGAGTCAAGTAACGCCGAGTGAACGGGTGGTGGAGTAGGCAGGAGCAGCGAGGAGCGGTTTTGGGTGGGAAGAGGGGCTGAGTTCTGCGGAGAGATACCCGGTTTAAGCTTGGCTTCTAGGGAAAAGCCGAAGTGGGGAACGAGATGGACACGCCCGTGCACTCACTGGTTTGACACTTGGTTCGGGTTGGTTACAGCCAACGCAACACGGTCGGGAGGACTAACTGTGGGTGACCGATGCCTGATCTGCAGCAAGTGATACCGTAGAAGCCATATCAATGGAAAAGCAGAAGAAAATCGTGATACTGTGATCGGGTTGATTATGACTGTTTACCCACCCAGAAGGTTCAGGCGACACCATGGAAAGCCTTACTTTATCCGGTCAATGTTGGATCGGCCTCAAGATACTTAATTTCACGGCTTATAGGACCATGCTTGTCCACAGACCCCTCTCCTTGTCGCGTGCCTAATGTTAGGCATGTAGATGGCTCTGCATGGCTGTGAGCTGCACTTTGTAGAACCAGGGTGAGTGCGCTACATGATTACAACACATACTACATGCAGATCCCCCACGAGACAGAAGAATGTACATGGGCTTTCGAGGAGTACAGCAATAGACCAAAGAAGCAATGAGGTTCCATCGACTAGAGCAGCAAAGGGGCAGAAAAAGGCAAACAGCATTAAATTTTGGAGAAAAGTCAAAAGAAAGACATGCATACCATGATGGTCACGCATATACCCAGGGGTACATCTGCACTAGGACAAACAGCAATTAATGGGTCGGTGATGTAGATGTCATGTCGTCCAGATGAGTCCGCACCCAGACTGTGGTTGGGTGATAAGTTGGAGATGGGGGGTGGGCAGACGCATGACTTGACAAGAACCACGGGTCCCTGTCAGCAACCGTTGTCAAAGAGATCAATGGCGAGGAGGGTACGGGACGTGCGTGGATGCCAATCATAAAGCCGGACCAGTCAGACTGAGTTTGACGGACCTGCCACTTCTGTCGACCAACGACCTCTCATTCGGCAGAGCAGGTGCCGCACCTTGCCTTGTGTCGCCGTATTATGCGGTCCCCAGCCGGAAGACCACTGCTTCAAGGCCCTATTGGGCGTTACACTAGAGGTGTTGGCGTGAAGACTCCCGGGGAGGTGTGGGGGTTGGAAATTCTGAGACGACCCAAGAGTATTGAAGCAGCCCAGCATATTGTGTAGCAGCGCACAGCATATTCTGGGCTGTAGTAACTAGTGAGATTTGCCTGAGCGCCGGGGGGTGTGTGGAAGGAGAAGGGGGGAGGGTGGAATCATTGGCCGCAAACGGGGAAGTTGTATTATCTATCATCTTGACACACATCTTGGACAGGCCGGATGTGGGGACCTTCTGCCCGAAATCAAGGATGGCCGATGGTGACGACAAGGTCGGGCCAAGGTTCCTGCTATCTACCACACTAGAATGATCGGGAGGGGCTGCATGAGATGGGTAGCAGATGAGACGAGAATCTGTGCTCAGTGGGAGTGAAGTGGCAGGAAGGACCATTACAATCAATTGGGATAGATTGGAAGATCGATGCATTGGATACTGCAGTAATGGATGGATGATTTGAATTTCTTTCTTTCTTTTTTGGGGGGGTGTGAAAAGGGAAATGGAAAGCAGACGGGGCAGCCCCATCGCAGAGAAGCCGCGGCGCTACGGCGGGACTAAGTGGCCACTAGTGACGGAGGCCCACCGCGCGTTTCCTTAAGCCCCTCCCCACCCCCATACTGGATTGACCTGCAGTGAGCCAGTGAGTAAGTAGTAGTAGGAAGACTATTGGGATTCCTCTCCCTGGCTAATTAGTTAGTAGTAGTAGTCTCATTGTACTACAACCTTCCCTTTTCCCCTCCTCCTCCTCTCCGTCTCCTCCTCCTTCTTTCTTCTTCTTCTCAACTTCTAGTCTTCCTCTTCCCCTTCCACCTCTTCTTCTCTTCAAGAAGTCGTCTTCCCCCCCCCCCCCCCGGTTCCCCCCACCTCCCTTCATTCCTCCCTTTCTCCCTCATGATTCACTTCTGTTGGGTTATTACTTAACTTCACCTTATCTCCTACCCTTATCTTTCGCTGACTTCATCTTCATTTACACTTTCCACTCTCCCACTCTTTTCCCCCACATCCTGATCGTTTCTGGATCGCCTTGGGGTGCTTGTGTTTCTGGTTCCCTTTATCATTGTGGGGTTGGGCGTATCTTAGCTTGCTATCTGCTGTGGGTAAACCTTCTCCTCCCAGTTCCCAATTTAATTGACTCCCCCCCTCATTTAACGATCTACGCTGCCATGTTGTATCTTATCACCTGTTGTCTCTTCTCAAGACTTGCATCATACATCTCACCTATTCCTGTTTCTTGGTTCCCAGACATACTTCCACCGGAATTAGATCATCTAAAGTTTAGTGTTTTGCTGGTGTATTGTGTATGTCATCGGTTCCCCACACCCCACCGCGCCCCCCTTCCTATGCGGAAACACAAGACGCGTTGTTGAGCCTCGATTCTGAACTACAGATGCTAATTTTATTCTAATTACAGAGAAGAATCGCTCTTTGGCGACTGAACCCGCGCGTCGTATCCTACAGGGTCTCGAAAATAAGGAATGCGTTATTGATTGGCCTCGTTTGCACTGTCAAGATATTGGATAAATTCCGTTTCAAGGGATATACATCGCTGGCGGCACACGGAGTATAGAGGGCTTCCTTCTTCTAAATTATGGCGACAGTTGTGGTGCAGCAGCAGACGCTGCGACACTCAACACCTCCCCCGACCGGCTTGACTCCCGCATTGAGTCTGAACAGAACTTCGTCTCCCATCCCAAACAAGCATATACCTGTTTGCCCCACGGGTCCCTCTCCAATTAATGCTCATGCACCATCTCCAGCTGCCAAAGACAGCTCTAATGATCAGACCTCATCGCTCTTATATCCGCCTGATAAATCCCGGCGACTGACTCATTCACCTACGGTGTATACAATTGACCTCAAAACCCTGTCCGCTTCTTTGGAGCATTGGGCCGCCCAACCACTGCCAAATCCCGAATCGATGTTTCCATGGCTGCACGGGCTTCATCCAGATAATCACTTGCAACTGGGATTCTTTACGAAGGGAAAACGTTCTCTTCGTCGGACTCCGAGGTGCTGGCGGGGTATCACCATTGTCAAAGTCGGCGGTAATCTATCCTCCTGCAGGATCAAGGGTGCGGTAGCTCCAGAAGAGGTTCTGGCCCCGTCGGGAGTGGAATTCCTCGCGGTTGACCCTCGAGAAGGCTTCTCAGTGCGCAACTTCCAAATACAGACCGCAAAGTTGGCACCCTTATCTGACATTATCGTCTACGGTGAGAATAGTGCAACCCAGCAACAGATTCTGGACATTGCAAGGCGAATGGCAACGGCACAGCATAATTGGAGAATCAAGAACGACCCTGACCGTAACTTTCCTGCTTATAACACCTATGTCCTTGATTGTGGGTGACATGGGTCCTACTTAAGGGTAACCGCGAGCTAATCGATCACTAGGTCCCTTCTCTGAGGTTGAGAAGAGAGCGTCGCACTTGGTGGCTATCAATTCCAGTGGCCAGCTTACGGGACAGGTCGTGGACTTCTGTAAGTGACATACAGGATGCTCGCTGGTTGTCATTCTAACATGTTACTAGTCCAGTGGGAACGGTTGGAGATGTGTGAGATGTCCAAAGCCTCCGAAATCTCAACGAATGTCTGGCTTGGCCCTACACCCGATTACCTATTACGGCCTGGATCTTGCGGGCCTGCACCTACCGAGAACTTCGACCTCTTGATCGAGGCCAGCGAGCTCGCAAGTATTCCTGGCCCTCGCTTCCTGGCGAATCTCAATAAGCAACTCGAGGAAGGCCCACAGAAGTTGGAGTTTCCCTCATCCGGTTCGATCCTTTTGCCCTCAGGTGAAACCAGAGAGATCGATGATCTAGTGAACACGGTCCGCTGGATCTATTACCTGGCCAACCCGGATGAGCCAGACCAGAAGGCTGATGCGGATGGAGATATCCCAATGATCCCCCTCACCAAGACAGTCCGCAAAATTCTCATCCATTGTCCGGACGGCTACACTGAAAGCTCACTGCTAGCGATAGCTTATTTGATGTTTGCAGAGGGCATTTCGGCTCCGAATGCTTGGCTCAGACTGCACTGTGAGAAGAAGCGAAATTTCTTCGCCTACCCTTCTGATATTACCTTCATGAGCGGTGTACAAGCACGACTATTGCAGGAAAGCCCTGCAACTCGATCACACAAGATCAGGAGCCTTCCCGATCCTGCTTGGTTCAGATATTGCGATGGTTCCCTTCCAAGTCGCATTCTGCCGTACATGTACCTGGGCAACCTGTCCCACGCCAACAACCCGGAGATGCTTTCCGCGTTAGGCATCAAGCGCATCCTCAGCATAGGCGAAACCGTGACGTGGAACAACGACTCTGCTAAGGCGGACGAGAAGATCATTCTGCACATCACTGATGTTCAGGACAATGGGATTGATCCGTTGACACGGGCGTTCGATCGCTGCCTAGAATTCATTCGTAAGTTGATATGCTGCTGGCACCGATAGAACGAATGCTTACCAGGACTGGTCACTTAGGACAAGGAAAGCAGGACGGAATGGCCACCTTGGTGCATTGTCGCGTGGGTGTCTCACGTTCAGCGACCATCTGTATTGCCGAGGTGATGGCGTCATTAGGCCTATCGTTCCCTAGGGCATAGTAGGTCCACTGGATCATATTACATGCGACTTACACTAACGTTTGCCCCAGCTGTTTTGTCCGAGCACGAAGGCTTAACGTAATCATCCAGCCTCATCTACGATTTGTGTAAGTCCCAGCTCTACACCTGCTAAGCATATTCCTGGACGCTGTTAGCTAACGGTATAATTTAGATACGAGCTTCTTAAATGGGAGGAGTTACAATTACAGAAGCGAAACAAGCCTGCAAGACGGGAACTAGAATGGGCTACCGTGGCTCGCGAGATCGCATTGATGAACAAACCGTATTCTAGACAGTGAAAGCGACTTCAATCATGCAGGAAGCTTGCAGAATTGTGACCCTGGGAGCTGTGCTCCACACGCCACATTCCGCCAGGCATCCTTTATATGGAGACAAACCGCGTCTCCTGCAACAAAAGACAACAGATATGATGATGACCGATATGTTTGACATGAGGGCACGAACAACAGCTAAATGATCTACTTTCTTTCTTCGCCGTTCTTGATTTTGGGCGTTCGAGGGACTTAATCTAATGGCACTGAGATGTTTGATTACGCATCCAAATATATGTTATGTGTTGTGTGTATGTGTGGGATTTCTCCAAGGACGGCGTTATCGTGGCTTGGCCTAGGAATCGGCATGATGTCTATCGTTAAAGGGTCGACCTGCTTACTGCCATTGATGTTGGGTTTGATCCTGGTATATTTATGCAGCTCAGACGCGCCGTCGTCTATGTTCAATGCCATTTCGAAGTCTAATTCCTGAACAAGCTTCTCTTACAGTACACTCTATGTCTATGAATAGTAACTCGTATCGCTGCCCTGGTAAAGTTCGTATCTGTACCACTGAATAAAGTTATTAGGTTCAGAATGATCCATCAACTCTGTAATCGTGTTGTTTTGATACAATCTATCACCAGGCCAGACGTAGTAGTTTTGTAATCATTGCACCTGAATGAATACACTCCCTTACAATTATCCAATAGATACCAGAATTCAGATCCTCAGCTAAATCAACACCGCTCAAAAACCCTGTACAACCCCTTCAAATCCGCCACCTCCACCACCCCCTTCAGCAGCCGCGTCGTAGCAACCATCCGCGCCCTCAACGCCGGGAATACCACATGTTCCAGCATCCGCGCCATCTGCGCCCGTCTCTGCGTGATGAACTCCTCCTCCACTTCCCCTTCCCCTTCTGCTCCTGCATCATTACTCTTCTGCACGTTCGGAGGCGGGGGCAACTGCTCAGGGGTATAAAAAGCCGCAAGCTCTCGCAGGAATGTGCGGAAGCATTCCTCCTCGCTCGTCCAGTCGACGTAGGGACCCAGTCTGAGGAGAAATCGGGGCAGTTTGCCCAGGCTGGGGAGGTAGCCTTTCAGGAGTAAGGGGATGGAGAGGAGGTCTCCGTCTGGTGAGATTTCGAGGGAGAAGTACTCGTTTAGCATTTCGCGGCGGTCGATGAGGGTTTCGGCGACGAGGTCCGGGGCGTTGGTGAAGATTACGTTGGCTTCTTCTGCTGTTGATTCTTGGGATGATTGGGTGCGTTCGGTGTCTGCGGCGATGCGGAGGAGGTCGATGAGTTTGGGTGGTGGGGAGAGCTTGATGACGCCGAAGTTGGCGAAGTCTGTAAGGCCAATTTGGTAGAAGAATTCGGTGCAGAACATGCCGTAGTCGATTAGGTAGAGTTTGACGCCGGATTGGATGGCTGCGATTCGGCGGCGTTCGTCGACGAGCCCGACGTAGGTGTGGGAGGCGATGGTTTCGGTTAGAGTGTTGTGCATGGAGTTGCGGACGGAGGCGCGGAGGTTCTTCACGGATGTGAAGCTGATGCGGTGGGGTTCGCGGGAGGTGGTTTCGTATTGGAGGCCTTCGTCAAGGATGGTGGTGGTGTCTGCTTGGGAGGCTGTGGGCGTGTGTGGTGTGGCTGGGGTGAGCATGGAGGTGATTTTGCGGACTTTGGAGTCGGTGCGGACGAGGTTATGTTCGTATGGCTTTTTGGCCGTGGATGGGGTCTTGGGTACGGTGTCTGTGCCTTCGGTGTCGCGGTTTGCGGGCTCCATTGTTGTTACACCTGGGAGGAGGGTTTGGGTGAGGAAAGTCCGGCTTGAGTCTACTTGAGCCAGTTTGGAGCGGATTTCGTTGCAGATGCATTCGATGATTTCGTCTTCGTTGAGGAAATTCACTTCGCGTTTTGTGGGATGTACGTTGACGTCGACACGCTGTGGTTCGATTTCGAGGTCGATGTAGGCAAATGGGTGTCCTCCCTTGGGGAGGAAGCTGGAGTATGTTTGTTCGACTGCTCGCTTGATGGCTGTGGATTCGACCGAGCGGTGATTGATGAAAAGGAGTATGGTAGTTCTCTTGACATGGTAATTCGCGTTCGTGGCAAAGCCAGATGAGCGGAAGCCCAGCTTGTCATCTTCGACATTGAATTCGACAAGTTCTTTGGCGACTGCGCTGCCGTGGATTTGACGAATTCGGTCTATTGTATTCGCTGCTGCTGGAGTGGAGACACTGACGCCTGAATCACCATGCTTGCGGCAGGAGAAGGCCACACCCGAGCAATGGACGGAGTATCGACCGACTACATCGAGGATTTTGGCGTATTCTTCACTTGCTGATCGGAAAGCCCGACGCCTTGTCGGTACATTGTAGAACAGGTCCTCTACCTGGGATTCGAATGAGCTGTTGTACTTTCAAAGATGAAAAATTATCTCACTCACAGTTATTTGCGTACCACCGCGTCCCGCGGTGGCTTTGGGCGCAGCACTTTGTCCAGGTTTAGGGGGGACAAGCTTCCCATCGCTATAGTGTGCTCTCCATGCGCAGCTGGATCCGGCAGTTTTCGTGGTCACGGTGAGATGGGCAATATGGCTGATACTTGCCAAAGCCTCGCCTCGGAAACCGTACGTACCTATGGATGAAAGGTCCTCAAACTGCTTAAGCTTGGAGGTTGTAAATCTTTCACACAGGATAGGAAGGTCGTCTCTCTGTCTCTTATAATTAGCCACTTTATCGCTAAAGAATCATGCTTGCTCCACTTACGTCGATGCCATGACCATTGTCAGTAATCTGAAGGAGCTTCAATCCACCATCTTTCACCAGAATCTCGATCGAGGTCGATCCAGCATCAACAGCGTTCTCGATTAGCTCTTTCAGCGCATGCATAGGAGCCACTATAATCTCCCCAGCTGCAATTTTGTTTACAACATCGGGGTCTAAGGCCTATGTAGCGTTAATGCCTAAGCGAAGGTACGACTGGTAATGGGAACTGACTCTGATCCTTTTTGGTCTCTGTGGCTCCTCACTGTCCTCGGCAGATCTTTTCGTGCCTCGGGGCTCTGTATTGTCCAAGTCCATCGCCATCTGGGGGTCCATGGTTTGAGAGGAATGGAACAACTGAATCAGCAAAAATGTTGCTTTTCTGGAATTGTGCGCGACTATATGAACTAATCTGAGCCACGGGGTTGGTATGAAGCAATGTTCCAACCACTGAAAGCACGGGATACTGATGGTGACAAAGAAGCTGTCAGCCCATAAGAATTCAGCTATAGCTCGACGCCAGTCAGATGTAGTAGCCTGGCAGGCTTCTAGAAGCAATGGATGTTGACTGGAGGCGGTGGAGAAAGACCGGCCGAATGAATGGCTGAAGGATCGGGGATAAGCTGCGGAGGAGAGCCCATGGCTGATTAGTCGCCGCGGCCATCCCGCAACCGTCGAACCTCCACCGCGTGGCCCCTTCAAGATTCCATACCATCCATTCATTGCTCTTCCGCCCCTCTCTTCAATGCTTACATCTGTCGCGCCAGCTCCAACGGAGCAGCTATTCTTATGTTTGAATAATGTGGCCCTCCAAACGGCCATTTTTGGCAGATGAGGAGCTTGGGAAGAAGGACGATGACCATCGGTCTCGCACAGCCCATAGCCAACCATGGCGCTCAAAGCAATGGAAACCACCACGGCCGCGACGATTCGTGTTAGGCATTGTGGCTCTGTATTTACTTTATCTGTTCTTCAAAAATATGCCAACTGATCTTGCTCCTGCTCCGGAGCGGTTCAACCCTGCATTGGCTCAAGCGCGACAGGCCGCACTTCGATTCCAGCAAGAGCACCTGCAACCACAATCGCAGCAGCAGGGGCAGCAGCAGGAGGAGAAGGAGCTTCAACCTCCACTATCTGGCGCTCCTCCGCAAGGCCCTCCCGAGCGAAATGAAGCCGACGCAAAGCTCAGTGACGAACTCTATTACAATGGAAAGATCAACTTCTACTATTTGGCTAAGTCACTACATCGGTTTCAGGGACAAGTCTCCCGCTATCAGAAGCCAACCAGTCACGCCGTTGTCTTTGCTGCTGCAAGCCTGGAAAGCGTGTCGGATCTCCTTCCTCTTGCCTGCCAGATGGCAGGGAAAAAGCTTAACGAAGTACACATGGTGCTGCTGGGAAGAGACGACGTGTCAATCGAAGGTATTCAGCGCGTCAATGGTATAGATGATGCGAATTGTCCAGTCAACTGGCACGGTACGTTTTGCTACTATCAACCCAACATAGTCTTCCTCAAAATACTCATTTATTTGCACTGCAGATGCTAGGCCAGACTATGCACAATGGTCAACAGATGCCCGTATGGAGAGAGCGGTGGCGGCGGGTCTCACTTATGTTCGCTCCTACCTCCTTCCGCAAGTAATCCTGACACAAGGCGAGCAGATGGAAGAACTTTTCTTCTGGCGCGGCGTGCAAGGTTGGGCAGATGAATCAGGTGTTCCCCATGTCTCTCTCCCTAGCACAGCAAGGGATCTCATGTGGATGTCAACCCTGGACAGTGGCGCCCTTCAAGGTAACCTTCGAGACTCTGTCGGTCAATGTCTAACTCCGTGCTAATGCTTTTACAGCCTGGAATAACGTTCAAGTTGAATTTCTTGTTCATGCTCCTTCTGAGTCCTCTGGCTCCCTGATCAGGTTGCTCCGGACGTTGCAAAATGCGGACTATCTTGGCGGGACACCTAGCTTGACGATTGAATTGCCCCCTCAAGTAGACCCAGAGCTACTTCGCTACATTAAGTCGATAAAATGGCCTCCTCATTCTTCTGGAAAGGTCACTCTCCGTCGTCGAATCCAGCCACATGACATGAACTCCGCCGAAGCCTCCTTGAAGTCTGTTGAGGCCTTCTATCCTAGGGACCCGGCTGTGTCCCACGTGCTTTTGCTTTCTCCACAGACGGAGCTAGCCCCATCATTTTATCACTATTTGATGTATACCATGCTAAAATACAAACATTCCCGCACCAAACAGCTGTCTAGCAAGCTTATTGGCATCTCGCTTGAGCTTCCGTCTTCTCTTTTGACTGACGGCAAACCATTCGAACCACCAGAAGCTGACAGCAACCATGTCTCCAGTCCGGGCGATGGGGAGTTATTGCCTTTATTTCTTTGGCAGGCCCCCAACAGTAATGCAGCTCTATATTTCGGCGATAAGTGGGCCGAATTCCACGAGTTCTTATCAAACCGGTTCCTGGTTCAGGAAAGTATGGGCCAGCAATCACCCCAGGAGAAGCTCATATCGAAGAAATACCCAGCCGTGATGGAGTACCTCCTTGAGTTTATCCGAGGTAGAGGATATTATCTGCTTTACCCGACGTTTCCTGCCAAGGGGAGTTTTACCCTTGCTACGGTGCACAACGAACTATATCATGTTCCCGAAGAGTTTGTTGAGGCTGATTCACCTCAGCTCACCGAACCGTCACCAGAAGCGATAACAGACCCCTCAAAGCCGCTTACACCAGGTCCTGCGGAAGGGCTCGGAGTCGTTGAAAAGCCACTGAGTCGAGCCTCAACAGTAATGCCGCTTCTTGAACGATTTTCCTTCAAGCTGCCTACCATTGATCACTTGCCATTGTTGTCCTACAGCGGTGAGAAGCTCTCTGGCTATGCTTATAGCCGGGACCTCGATGAGTACAGGGAATGGTTCCGCACTCGACATGGGGGATGTGCCGATGGAAGCCTCAGCAGCCAAACGGGTTCAGGGGGCTTATTTTGTCTGGGCGGATGATATTCGCTGTATGTAATGATGCATGGTCTGGGGCTATAAGAAGCTGCGGCTCATACCCCGTGTAATTCGTTCAACAATCAAGTTAGATTTTTGTCAGTACATTGGTAGAACATTCCAATCGATGCCTTAAGGCTGAAATTGTAGTAGTTAATCTCTTGGCGGGCGCTGTCTTACATAAGCGGTGGGAGCTCCACAGGAGCGCAACGCCCGAGCGGCGACGAAGAGCGAGCTCTCTCTGTTTCCCATCAACAAGCTTATAACCCAATCCCAACTTCATCGCCTAGAGTGAGGAGGCTTATCGCATCAAAGCTCCCACTCTCACCCTCATCACTCGCGTTTCTAAATCTCCCGTCTATCCGCGTTCCCGAACACACCCCGACTACTCGCCATATAACCGTCAGAGATGGCGCAAGACGGCGAGCGGTCAGCTCCCGCCGACAAGGGCAAGGGCAAGGTTGACGATATCAAGGAGTTGTCTGGAGGAAAGAAGACAGCGGCTGATGAGAAGCCACAAGCTGATGGCAAGCAGAAGGATGACGAGTCGAAAGAGGGTAGGTGGACATGTCGAGTCAGGCCGCGGACCTCCCGACGCCGCACCTGACATCACTAAGGCCGTGCTCTGATCGAGGTGCTAACACGATGGATATTCCAGAAGAACTCAGTGAAGAGGATCAGCAGCTGAAGAATGAGCTGGAAATGCTCGTGGAGAGGTTAAAGGTACGGGGATGAAGCTGTTCTGTTGGGGTCCCGAGCGATGACGTTAACTCTCAACCTGCCATCTAGGAGCCCGACACCTCGTTGTACGCCCCTGCCTTGGACGCGATTAAGAACTTCATCAAGACCTCGACATCTTCTATGACTGCTGTTCCCAAGCCCTTGAAATTTCTAAGACCGCATTACGATGAGCTCACGGAGCTCTATGAGAAGTGGGCGGCCGGCCCGGTTAAGGTTCGTTGCCCGCCATGCAGACCACCCTATCAACCTAACCAGGTATGTGTCTCTAGGACTCGCTCGCCGATATGCTCTCGGTTCTTGGCATGACCTACGGAGATGAGGAGAAGCTCGAAACCCTGAAGTACCGCCTTCTCACCAAGTCCGAAGACCTCGGCTCCTGGGGCCACGAATACATCAGACACCTGGCGCTGGAAATTGGGCAAGAGTACCAAAACCGGCTTAACGCTGAGAAGGATGTACAGGACTTGATCGATCTGTCGCTGTCTCTTGTTCCCTACTTCCTGAGCCACAACGCCGAAGCCGATGCTGTCGATCTTCTCAGTGAGCTCGAGATCATCGAGGAGATCCCGCGCTTTCTGGACGAAAACACATACGGAAGGGTCTGCTTGTACATGGTCAGCATGGTCAACCTTCTCACATACCCCGAAGACCAGCAATTCCTTCGTACCGCCCATGAGGTCTATGTCCGCTACAAGGAGCTCACCAAGGCCGTGGTTCTTGCTATCCGTCTGAACGACATTGACCTCATTAAGAGCGACATCAATGCCACTGAGGATAGGTCGCTCAAGAAGCAGATGGCGTTCCTTGTTTCCCGGCAACAAATATGGCTTGACCTTCCTGAGGAAGAGGAAGACCAGTCCTTCATGGACAGCTTGAACAACACCTCCATTCCAAAGCACTTCAAGTCTCTTGGAAAAGAGCTCAACATCCTTGATCCCCAGATGCCGGAAGACATTTACAAGACCCACCTCGAAAGCAGCCGCGGTGCTGGCCTTACAAATGTTGACTCCGCCAGGCACAACCTCGCCAGTGCCTTTGTCAACGCCTTCGCCAACGCTGGATATGGCAACGATAAGATGATGCTTGTGGAGGGTGACAAGGGCCCCTGGGTCTGGAAGACCAAGGATGACGGCATGCTGTCAACGACTGCTTCGATGGGTATGCTTCTGCACAGGGATGTCGAGATTGGTCTGGACAAGATCGACAGGTATACCTACGCCTCGGAGGATCAGATCAAGGCGGGTGCATTGCTTTCTATCGGTATCCTCAACTCGGGTGTGCGGATAGACTCCGACCCTGCTTTGGCTCTCCTCAGTGACCCCGACAATCTCGAGGCCAAGAGTGTGCCCATGAGAGTTGCTTCTATCATGGGTCTCGGTCTGGCTTATGCCGGATCGAACAAGGAGGAGTTGCTTGAGGTTCTACTCCCCATTGTCGAGGATGGGTCCTTGGACATGCAGCTGTCTGCCATGGCAGCTGTATCCCTGGGTCTTATCTTTGTGGGATCTTCTAATCACCAGGTCAGTGAGGCCATTGCCACCACATTGATGGACGAGGAGCGGCAGAAGCAGCTCAAGGATAAGTGGACTCGCTTCATGGCCCTGGGTCTGGCGCTCCTTTACTTCGGTCGTCAGGAAGAGGTCGACGTCATCCTTGACATCCTGAAGGCAGTTGATCACCCTATGGCTAAACCGACCTCGGTCCTTGCTTCGGTCTGCGCCTGGGCGGGTACTGGCACCGTCCTGAAACTGCAGGAGCTCCTCCACATCTGCAATGATATCATCGACGAGACTGAGGAGAACAAGGGTGATGAGCTTGTTCAGTCGTATGCTGTTCTGGGTCTGTCGCTCATTGCTATGGGTGAGGAGGTCGGGCAGGATATGATCTTGCGGCAGTTCGGCCACCTGATGCATTACGGTGCCAGCAACATCCGCAAGGCTGTTCCCCTTGCCATGGGCTTGATCACACCCAGCAACCCTCAGATGAAGGTTTACGACACTCTGTCCCGGTACAGTCACGACACCGACAACGATGTCGCTATCAACGCCATTTTCGCCATGGGTCTTTGCGGTGCTGGTACCAAGAATGCCCGTCTGGCGCAGCTGCTTAGGCAGTTGGCCAGTTACTACCACCGCGACCAGAACACTTTGTTCATGGTCCGCATTGCCCAGGGTCTTTTACACATGGGCAAGGGTACAATGACCCTGAATCCCTTCCACACAGATCGCCAGGTCCTCTCGCGCGTATCAGCCGCAGGTCTTCTCACCGTCCTGGTGTCTATGATCGATGCCAAGCAATTCGTCCTCGCCGAACACCACTATCTCCTCTACTTCCTCATCACCGCCATGTACCCACGCTTCCTTGTCACGCTCGACGAAGACCTGCAGCCTCTCACCGTCAATGTCCGGGTCGGTCAGGCCGTGGACGTTGTTGGCCAGGCGGGTCGCCCTAAGACCATCACTGGTTGGCAAACACAGAGCACGCCGGTGCTGCTGGCCTACGGCGAACGTGCAGAGCTCGAAGACGAGCAGTACATTCCTCTCAGCAGCACTCTAGAGGGTCTGGTCATCTTGCGCAAGGTAAACAATCCGTGCTAGTGATAATATGATAAACCATGATGCTAATGTTATGGCAGAACCCCAACTGGGAAAATCAAGACTCGGTTTAATGGCCCTTCGACGTGACACGACTGTGTGGGTGAGCTGAGCAGGGGGCTTGCTGCTCAGGTACTGTGTTTTCATGTAATCAGCACGAATTGGAAAATAGCAGGCACCGATTGTCATCATATTCGATCTATCAATTAGACTGGTGGATGTGGCACGGGTGATTAATGCTAGTATGACCTCTAGGCTTATATATGTCTGAGAAACCTCAATTGAAACAGATTCTTTCGCCAATAGTAGATTTAATTTGTAGTAGTAATACTAGTAGTACTACTATGAAGTGATTCTTTGACCTACTATTGTCCAAACTTGATGTCGTTCCTCAACACCCGTCCGTAGTAGATGTATATATTGTACAGTAGTACCTGTAAACTACTCGGTCCAAAAGGGGATGAGCAACATGGAGATAACTCCATGCACCAGGCAGAACATCACCCCCATTGTTGACTAGCCCAGATGTTTGTTACATCTTTTCTTTTCATAGGTTCGGTATTTTCGTTGAACTACCAGCTAACCTAGACTATATGTTCTGTAGGACCTTGGAGACATCCGAAATAGGAAACTAGGGCATAGGGCAGCGGCATCCTGACTTTTCCGCGCATCAATGTAATGGTCGACGCCTTCATCGACAGCGCAGACTCACGTTTCACGCCATACGCAGTCGGTAGCTTAACTTGTGAGCCGATTCAAACATCGAACACACTGCATTATGAAGCTCGATCCGAAAGCGATCCGCTACCTCACCTCTGAGGACTTCCGCGTTCTCTCCGCGGTATGCCCCTCCCCCGCCCTCTGATCGCAGCCTATTGTCTGACAGCTAACAGAACTGTGTCGCAGGTTGAACAAGGAAGCAGAAACCATGAAGTCGTGCCCACGCCTCTGATCGCGCAAATTGCTGGCCTCCGCGGTGGCAGCGGAGTGCACCGGTCTATCTCCAACCTCGCCAAGACTAACCTGATCGCTAAGGTTAAGAATGCGAAATGTACGGTTGTCGCCTTTGTTGCTGTACGGAACTGAGCATAGGCGAAGATTTTACTGACAAGTGCTTGGTAGATGATGGATACCGTCTCACTTACGGAGGTCTCGATTACCTCGCCCTCAACGCCCACCAGAAGCAAAAGTGCATTTACTCCGTCGGTAACCAGATTGGCGTTGGCAAGGAGTCCGATATTATCGTCGTCGCCGGTCACGATGGAACACAGCGCATTTTGAAGATTCACCGTCTCGGTCGTATCTCTTTCCGTACCGTCAAGACAAACCGCGACTACCTCCGACACCGTAACACTGGCTCGTGGATGTACATGTCGCGCCTGGCCGCGATGAAGGAATATGCCTTTATGAAGGCCCTACGAGAGAACGGCTTCTCCGTTCCCGAACCCATTGCCCAGAACCGCCACACCATCGTCATGAGCTTGATCGATGCGTTTCCGCTACGACAGATCTCCAAGGTCGCCCATCCCGCATCACTGTATTCGGAGCTGATGGATATGATCGTGCAGCTGGCGCGGTTTGGTCTGATTCACGGTGACTTCAACGAGTTCAACATCCTTATCAAGGAAATAGAGGATCCGGATGCTAAGGGGAAGGGCCGTGAGGATGAGGAGGATGATGATGAGAATATCCGGTTGGTGCCAGTCATGATCGATTTCCCACAGATGGTGTCGATCGATCACCCCAACGCGGAGATGTACTTTGACCGTGATGTCAACTGTATCAAGCGCTACTTCCAGCGCAAGTTCCACTTCACTAGTGATGCCCCCGGTCCTTTCTTCAAGGATGCGAGGAAGCAGCTCATCCAGAACCCCGGGAAGCGGTTAGATGTGGAAGTTGAGGCGTCAGGATTCTCGAGGAAGATGGCGCGCGAGTTGGAGAAATATATGAAGGAGGTTGGCGCCAATGGCGATAACGATGAAGACAAGGAAAGTGACGAGGAGGAGGAAGAGGAAGAGGAAGAGGAAGAGGAGGAGGGTTCCGGCTCTGAAGGGGAGGAGAACGAACAATCACAGGAGGTGGACGAGAGTGCCCGGCGACTTGGGAACCTGCAGGTATCGGACGGGCAGTAGACAGCACACCAGTAAATGATAGTAATGACCATGACGAATATAAAATATTTCTCATTCAACCATATTTGAAAATGAACAAAATCTCAATTTCTTCGTACTTAAAATAATCTCCAGGACCTGTTACAAAGTATCCGACCAAAAACCACACTACGGTACCCGACGCGGCCAACCACGCAATTTCACGTTTGCTCCCGACGAACTTTCCGCCGGGGCATATCAAATCAAATCAATCTTCCCTCTACGAATATCATCACCACCACCACCACCACCTCAATCGGACCCATTCAATTCACAACCCCCCCAAAAATGGTCCGACGATTCTCCAAGTTCCCCAAAAAGCCCGCCGACTGGCTCGGTCCCGCGGCGCCTCTGTCCGAACGGAAGCAGATCTTCCTGTACGCTCCATCCTATACAATCCCATACCAAAATCCCATTCCAAAAATGAACAATGTGAAAAACTGACAGCTGGAAACTGAATGGAATAGTCCCGACTTCACAATCGCCCTAATCCGCACGCCGTTCCTCCCTCCCCGCTACGCCACCTTCTACGTGCCGCTCAACTTCAACAAACTGGATATGCGCGATTACCTGCAGCGACTGTACGGCGTGGGCGTCGTCAGCGTGCGATCATTCGTCGAGCAACAGAAACTGACGAGGTTGAAATCCCTGGGTCGTTATGGATATGGAAAGATTCGTCGCCCGCAGTCGAAGAAGAAGATGACGGTGGAGATGAAGGAGGCGTTTGTTTGGCCTGAGGCGCCGAAGGATATGGCTCCGTATGTTTATTCCTTGTTTATTTTCTGTGGAATTGTTGGGTTTGGTGATGTTGTTGGAAGAGGATTGGTGGGTTTTTGGGATAATGCTGACTCGTGGTTTGTGCAGATGGGAGAAGGACCAGTTCTTCAAGGCTCAGAAATACCAGGAGGAGATCCAGGATAAGCAGAAGCCGGATGCGGGAATGAAGGCGGATGAGAAGGAGAGGGAGGTTTATAAGGAGGATGCGAAGAAGTTGTTGGAGGGTGCTAAGCCGTGGAGGCCGACTTGGAGGGCTTTGGGGTTGGGGCATTATGAGAGGCCGTTGGTTAAGTCGTGATTTTATTGATTCATTGATATGTTGGTTTAGAAATTTGTTGCTTGTTTGGTATATCAGGGTTCAAGTTAGACAGTTTGTGATTGATGGCTGTCGTCGTGTATTATATTTATATTACTACCTACTTGTGTGTGTTCAATACTATCCATTGTGTTTGGGATGAGTTTGGGTGAATGAAATAGTATTTGGTTGTAACTGACAGATAAATATGTGTGGAACTGAGGATATGTTGACGCTGGTAAAGGAAAGTGGTCGCTGCGCTTAGAAGGACAATAAGAGAACAAACAATAAAGCACAAGTACTATCTACACAGACCATTGGGTCGTGTTGTGATTGAATAGTGAGTGAGTGGAGAGCCCTTACAGTCGGCTCTCGATGAAGTTGGTGTGCTGACCAGGCCAGTGGGCATCTGGCCACACCTGTCGGATAGCTTCCCAAATATGTCTGTCAGATGTTAGCAATCTGCAGCGGCAAGTAGGGATGATTGAGATACTCACGTTACATAAACAATTTCAAGGCCTTCGCTGACCTCCTGCGGCACATCCTTGACATCCTTGCGGTTGTGATGGGGCAAAAGAACGGTCTTGACGCCGGCGCGGTGCGCACCGATCAGCTTCTCCTTGATGCCGCCAACAGGCATCACCTTGCCGCGGAGCGACACTTCGCCAGTCATGGCAACACTGGGAGGTACTGCCTTGCCGGTGAATAGGGAGATGAGACCCATCGTGTGTGCCAGGCCTGCCGAGGGGCCATCCTTCGGGATGGCCCCGGACGGGCAGTGGACGTGCAGGCTGCGGTTCTTCATGATATCCTCGGTGGGATCCGCAGTCAGTCCAAGCTCAAAGGCATGGGCTTTCACCCATGTCAGAGCCACCTCCACGCTCTCCTTTAGCACGTCTCCCAGCTTTCCGGTGAGCTGGACCCGGCCGTTGCCTGGCATGTCTGCAACCTCGATGAACAGGATGCTGCCTTGACCTCCAGTGGAGTATGCGACAAGTCCAGTGACAACACCGGGACGACCATGCTTTTCGGCGATTTCTTCCTCAAAGCGCTCGATACCTAGTATATCTTCCAACTCGTCCATGCTCACCATGGGGTTGTACGCATCAAGTCGGCCTGCATCGCCCGCATCCGCAAACTGGACGGCCTTGTATCGACAGACCGAGCCAAGCTCACGCTCTAGGTTACGAACACCCGACTCTCTGGTGTAGGACGTGATGACTTTGTCAATCACCTCGTCAGACAAAACGACCTGGCCATCCGAAAGCCCATTCGCTCTGATCTGCTTGGGAATGAGGTGTCTTTTGGCAATGTGTCGCTTCTCAACCGTAGTGTAGCCGGACAGAGATATGGTTTCCATCCGGTCGAGTAGGGGTGCCGGGATAGTGTCCAAAGAGTTAGCAGTGGCAATGAAGAGTACCTTGCTCAGGTCAATAGGGATGTTGATATAGTGATCTGAGAATGTATGGTTCTGCTCAGGATCCAGGACCTCGAGCATGGCTGCTGATGGGTCTCCTTGGAAATTGGCGCCTCCGACCTTGTCAATCTCGTCGAGCAAGAACACTGGGTTGGCAACGCCGACCTTCTTGAGACCACTGACAATCAGTCCCGGCATCGCAGCAACGTAGGTCCGGCGATGGCCTCGGATTTCAGCCTCATCTCTAACGCCACCCAGAGAGATCCTGTGAAACTTGCGACCGAGCGATGAGGCCACTGATCGCGCCAAGCTGGTCTTACCAACGCCTGGTGGACCAACAAGCAGGAGGATGGGCGACTTGTCGCCCATGCGACGAGTCTTCAGCATATGCAGCTTGGTCTCAACAGCGACTCGATCCGTCTCAGACAACACAGGTACCTCCTTCTCGAGGTCGCCTCCATCGGATGCCTCAAGCTCTTTCGACAAGGTCTCAATTTGGCGCTCAACATCTCTGTTGGTAGACTGCTTGAGTCGGAGCACGGCCAAGTACTCAAGAAGCCTCTTCTTGATCTTTTCCAATCCATAGTGATCATCGTCTAGCTGCTTCCTGGCTCTCTTCAAAGTCTCCGGTCCAAGCTGGTCCTCGGTCATCTTAGTCCATGGGATATCCGCGATATTTTCGAGGTAGGTCCGGCAGACACCGTACTCAGCATTTGCCGGGTTCATCTTACGAAGACGTCGCAGCTCCTTGTCCGCAACCTTTCTCGCCTCAGGGCTGAGCTGGGCCTCTTGCAACCTCTGCTGCAGCTCATCGACCTCGTTTGATTCCTTGTCATCGTTGTCATTGTTTCGACCGGCTGACAACCCAGGTGGCGTCAGTCCGCTAAGACCAGCCATTGCCTTCCTTGCCAGGATCTCACGGTCACGAGGATCGATCTGGTTAATGTCGAACCCAGAGCTAGGAAAGCTGTTGGTAGTGATTGTAGTGACCTTCACATTGCTCTTGATGCTCTGTAATTGCCTAGTTAGCATCTCAACAACTCTCTCTAGTCTGATCTTGACGTCAAGCGATGCTAAGATCCGAAGCTTTTCTTCGAAGCCGGAGTCGGCGACGTCCGCCATAAAATCGGCCAGTCTACCCGCATGGGAGACATCAGACTTGGTAATGAACAGTTCGAACTTCCGGGCAATGAGTGGCGAAAGGCGGCTTCCAGGAGAAGGTAGTAAGGAAGACAATCGCAGCAAGGTCAGGAGCTCGCGAGATAGTTGTCGCAGCTGTTGGAATAACTCTACTGTTTCAGCATCGCCGGAGACTGTTTCTAGAAATGACCAAATTAGACACTCGTCCAGATAAGAAGTAGCAACAACAGCGCAGAGCAACGAAAGAAAACCGACCTTTCTCATCATGAACAATAGCTTCAGCCTCGAAGTACGGCCTTTCCTTCAGGACGCGCCTAACAGTGAACCGCTGGACACCCTGGACCACGAGAGCCGGCTCCGAATAGGCACGGCGCTGGATACCAATCACTTTACCAACGGTACCATGACGAAACAGATCCTCCTTTCTGGCTTGTCCAGCATCAATCATCTCAAACTCCTCCCTCCGGTCTTCATCCAAGCTTCCGTCATCGATGAGTCGCTGACCGTCCTTGCTCAGATAAGGTGAGCTGAGGGGAACGCATCCGAAGGTGATAGCCGTTCCATCGCGCTTCGCCACGGCCGATCGATCAACGATTGTCGACAGTAAATTGGCGAGATCCGGGCGATTCGAAACAGGAATCCGTAGCGTTATGCCAGGAAGTAGGACCGATCCTTTGGGCAGCGGAACCAAGGGGAGCTTGGTTGTTCTGCCGCTGTTGGAACCCATCTCGGTATGCCAGAACACAAAGACACACACCCAGTGGCGATGACAAGATTAAAGTTGATGGAGAGGTGGAATAAAAGATTGGTGTCGTCTGGGGAACGATGGTAGATCAGGTCGACAGCGCACGGGGCTGTCGTGGCGGTCGGGTTATAAGGCAACTAGTAGAGGTGAGGTTCCACTGTTCCAGAACCCCGTCGATAGATGAAGGCGTGACTCTGGGGAGGAGATCCAATCCGATAAGCGCCCTTCTCTCCGATGCCGAGGTTCGCACGGGGCAACGTCAATCCCCCCGTCTGCGGAAACCGGAGTCCTGCAGCACAGCTTCCGCTCTTCCAGAACATGCCATGGCAGGCTGTGAGTCCCTGAAGACATTGTGACCAATCTACTCTGTATTTTTTCTACAGAAACCCCGAGGAAAAGTACATTGACCGGATCTAATCAGCGTGATGTGGCACTCGATGCCCCAGAAGCACGAGACCCGCGAAGAAAGGCGGTGTCTCCTCATCCGGTAACATTACCCGGTTGTATAATTACCGTCGGGTCGTATGACAAACGCAAAATACCAGTAAAATACCCAGCGTCAAATGTCAAGATTGTCTCTGAAACATTTCCCCTCAATGCTTGAGAGCCGTGCAGCCCACTCTTCTGTTTAGTACTTCGACGCCCGCAATATTCTTCGCCTAGATCACGGCAGGATATACCTCAGTCCAACTCTCTCCCTAAAAATCCAATCGCTTCCTGCATACACCAACCATCGTCGCAATGGCTTCTGCCCCGCCCCACGCCACCAACCCCTCATCGCGCAAGACCTTCACCATTGGCACGCGCAAGTCCAAGCTTGCTCTGCTTCAAACGGACCTGGTTCAAGCGGCGCTCAAGCAAACATGGCCCGACTATGAGTTCAAGATCCACTCTCGAGAGACCGCCGGCGACCAGAACACCACCATTGCGCTCCGTGACTTTACGACCAAGAACCTATGGACCCAGGAACTGGAGGACCTTCTGATTGCTGGCCAGGTTGACTTTATTGTGCACTCTCTCAAGGGTACATATCCGCTCGTTCTTTATCTCGCCTTAAGAAATGAACACTGACTTATCTCTATCATTGCAGATGTGCCGACTCTCCTCCCCTCCTCCTGCACCCTCGGCCCCATGATGAAGCGCGAAGACACAAGAGACGTCCTGGTCATGAAGAAGGGCCTTTCATACAAAAGTCTGGCCGAGCTGCCCGAAGGCTCCGTCGTCGGCACCTCTTCCATCCGTCGTACCGCACAACTCGCCCGTCGCTACCCCCACCTGAAGGTCATGGATGTGCGCGGTAACATTGGTACTCGGTTGTCGAAGCTGGATGCAGAGGATGGCCCATTCACGTGTCTCATCCTGGCTGCGGCTGGCTTGCTGAGATTGGAGCTGGGCGATCGTATCACCAGCTACCTGGACTCGAAGAACGGGGGCATGCTCTATGCTGTCGGTCAGGGTGCTCTTGGCATTGAGATCCGGAAGGATGATCAGCAGGTGCTGGACATGCTACAGAACATCGGTCATAAGGAGACCACGTTTGCTAGTTTGGCAGAGCGCAGCCTTCTGCGTACTCTTGAGGGTGGATGCAGTGCGCCGTTGGGTGTTGAGTCCGAATGGGTTAATGGTGCGCTGAGGATGCGTTCTATTGTGGTTAGTGTGGATGGCAAGGAGAGCGCTGAGGTTGAGATCGACGGGGCTGTTGATTCGCCTCAGGCTGCGGAGGAGTTCGGTGTTACTGTGGCTAAGGCGTTGGTCGAGAAGGGCGCCGGCAAGATCTTGGAGGAAAT